AGCAAAATGATGATAAATTGAAAGTTTAAAATATTATTTTGGGGTTTCTATAAGTAATTTTATTCGTGTTGATACTTTATATGTATAGTATTTTTATAAATAATCAAATTTATAAACATGTATTTAGAAATTAAAAATTGTGAAGAAATTTTCGTGTAGGAGATACAGTTTCATATTTATTGAGCTTGGATTTGCTGAAATTTATAAAATAACAGCAAATGTGATTATATGGGAAATATCTTTCAATTCATTATCCCTAGCGTGTTTACAGTACTGGATGGTTGATCCTACACCATTTATATGGGAAAAGCAAAGAATAAATAATAGTGAAATTTAAAGTTATATTTGCAACAAAATAAAAAATGATATAGAATTTATTTATAAATTTGTATTCATTTTAATTAATAATAACATAAATTATATTAGAATATAATAAAATTTGACCCATATGGAATTGCATGTAAAATTGATCTTATATGAAATTCTATGTCAAATTAAAACAATAAAATTTTATTAAAAAAAGTTTGCTATTTTGTAATTAAAATATATTTAAATATGTAAATGAATCGAACAAAATTCAGGATTTGTTATCAAATATTATTGATAAGGGCATATTGTCTTTGATGCCAAAATTGACTACACACTTTCAACTTACAAAATGAATAAATAATGACTCTCGAGTTTTATACCAAAAAGAACACTTCAAACTTAAGTAAAGAGATTGAATTTGTAAATCTATAAAGTATGATAGAGCTCTCAGATATTAGTTAATGTACAATAGAGAGAATTCTCTCTAACCATTTGACTACTTATATGTAGCCAATTTCATAGCTTACATGGATAATACCTATTAGTTCATGGATGTGACTAGAACTTAGTGTATGAGATATGGCATCACAACACAAGATTTAGCCATGATCTTTAAGGCTTGACTGTTGTCAATAAAGTTTGCTAAGTGTCTTCTAATTAGTTACCACATATCTTCAACTTGGTTGTTAGGTGTTATATTACTTGGTTTTTAAGTATTATATATTTGTAATTGTCGCATTTACAATATGCCCTGTTACATTTTAACACTTTCATTTTCTAGATGTATCATATGTATCAAGTATTTCATACTTCAACTAACTTGTAAATTAGTGAAATTGTTTTAGAAAAATTATCATTATTTCCCAAAAAAAACTTCCAAGAGAGTACCTTGCACATGTTTAGTAAATTTCTTCTTACTGTCCTTTAGAAACCGATCCTCCCTCATTGGCTCATTATGCAAAGACAATATGCCCTTTATGGATAGGTACGTAAAACGTTAATGGGGGAACAAACATATTTGGCGCTTTAGAAACTAATGATTTTGTCAATCATTGACAGTCAAGTGGTGTCTTCACTTTCCTCAAATAGGTATTTTCATCCTTTAAAGAATGGATTCATCATTTCACTCTTTTAGGACACACTAATCTATTAGTCATTGTTTTTTATCTTGAAAAGTTATAATTCCCTAATTTGTATGAATTAATTTTGAAAATAAATTATTCTTGGTCATTATTATTATTATTAATATTACTATTGAATTATTATTACTATTATATGAAAAACAAGAAAAGAGAGAAGAAGAAAAAGAGAGAGAAAAAAGAACAAATAAAATAAGAGAACAAAATAAAAGATGAGAGAAACATAAATAAAAAGAGAAAAAAAAGTGACGTGATACCAATTAAGGAAAAGCCTTGTCACAGGCCAGAGACTCTTGTTGTAACACTCCACTCGCTAAATTTGTACCTGCAAAGCCCTATTTATTCGGGTCTTAAGGTCACTTGAACTTATTTAAATTTATCTCTTAGTTTTATATTGTGTTTCGTGATTTAAATTCGTAATTTATTCTGATTTTATTATTTTATTTAATTTTATTTACTATTATTTTTATTTGTATTTATTAAAAATAATTTTCAACTAAAAAAATAGGAAAAAGGGGCAAAATTCTGTGGGAAAACGCCCGCAGGAAAGGCTTGCCCGCACGGGCATTGCACATTGTGCGCGTGCATGCGTGCGCAGCCAACGTAGGATGTGCGCATTATGCCCACGTCCTGTCCGCGTGGGGCATAAAGCTGCTCTGTGCACCGTACATAGGCCACTTTGCGCGCGTCACATCGTGCGTGGACAAGGCAAGGCACCATGCGGCCTGTGCACGCGTCA